AGGTCATTTCTCTAATGATTTCTTAATATCTGTGCAGTTCACAAACATGATTTTTTAAATCTCCACATCACCTGTGTGAAGTTAGGTGGTGCTATTAAACCTGTGGAATTGAAGAATTAAAGCCAAACTGCCAAAAGTTTCTGCTAATTTTGGATACCCAATTTTAGATCTACGACCTCATTTTTTTCCTTTGTGGTTATCATTTTATACCTTTAAAGCACAGCTCCCATTGACTTCAGCTGCAGTTGTGAACACTAAGCACTTCTGTAAATCCAGGTCCATATTTCCTACATTATACACCCAGAGTTAGTGGCCACCTGTGAAAATTTAAATTGAAGTGATTTGTCTAGCATCACATGAGAATGCAGAGACAGAGATGAGAATAATTTTCTCCTGTGCCTCATCCTTTACTACAGCATGTAAGTTCTGTTACTGCAAAAAGGGAAGCAAGAATCTTACAAACAACAGCATTATTCCATATACAAACCAGATTCTTTCCTGGAGCACTGTCCATCTAGGGAACAGATGGAGGGAAAATGAGTTTGTGATCACATAATTAAAGTTTGTATCATAATCTGTATGTACACAGGGACAGTAGCATAGCTTGGGGGCAGCAACTGAGGCACCAGGCCTAGGTGTGAAATCATTGGGGGTACCAGAACGGCATTCCCCAGGGAGTCCACACCGTCACCACAGTCCATGTTGCAGGAGTTTGCGCCTAGGCAACAGTAGCCCATTCCACTGTTGATGCTCCTCATCTCCCTCTCCTACTCCTCACAGAGCCACCCAAGGTACCAAAATGTAAAGTTTTACCTTCGCGCAAGGTCCGTGGTAATTCTACACAGACAAATATAAATTAGGACTTTTCAAACATCTAAGTGATTAATGCTTCATTTGTAATGTTCTCCTATATTTTTTAACTGTAGAAACTTAATTTCAACCCTAAAAAAACACCATTTCTATTTTGTGGAACCTATCAACAGGCCAGTTGGTGTCATCAGCAAGTTTTAACTTCTACATATCTAGAGCACAAGTCTCTGGCACCTGAGCTAATGGTACCAGCAGAAAGCTTTTATTCTTTGTGTGAAGAAAATGAAAGATGTATTTGAAAGACATAAAGTAGAGGGAAATGAAAGACATATTTTGCCCATGATTTTCATAAATATTCACTAATACCAGGGGAATGTAGAGACTTGGGACTCCTGTGTATAACTACAGGTTTTGGGATTGGAGCATATTCTAGTGTCTAGAGACTTCTTGTGCACACAGCCTAATTCCTACTCTTTTGATCCTACTCCCTGTCTTCTCCTACCTTTCTACAGCTGCCCAAATTCCTTCCGCTCTCTTTTGCTTACCCCCTGCATTCTGCATTATTATATCTGCAGGTCTACTTGTTCTTGCTTAACAACTTCTGTGTATCTTTTTGGGGCCCCCTATGCCCCATGTACAGGGGAGCTGGGGTCTGGAGCCAGAGCTATCAAGTCAGGAGTGAGGGACACTGAATCTGGACTTGCTGTTGATGTTTACAAATGGTTCCTCGTCCAAAAAAGGTTGAGAACCACTGCTTTAGAACATGTATCTTCTCAAACTTCTGGGTGGGGACTCAAGCCAGATTTAGCAAGTGGGTGCTAAACCACTAAATTTGAACCTGGCTTTTGTTGTTGCTGTCCAGGACTTGGCAGAAGGGTTACATTTGTGTGACATTAAAAATGTTTGCAGATTGTCACTAAAAAAAAAATCGTGGCAACCTTGCTCTTGACTCTCCATAGGCCAGTGAGGGTAAAGGTTTCTCTGCTTTCAATTCCTTTACCACAGATGGAACCATCTCACTACAAATGGCTTTGGAGAATTTAGCTGCAAAATTATAAATACCTTCTGTTTTTAAGATCTGTGGATCTGGATTAATTTATGGCATGCCCCTAATAAAAAAAAAAGCCACATTTCAGGATTTTTTTAAAATATGGACTAGTCTTGTTTTCTGAAACAACTAAATTAGTTTAGCTGACAGTTTAAAAAAAAAAAAAAAAAGCCTAAGATGTACTCCTAACATGGATAGTTTGAGCCTGAATTACTAGAGGTTTTAGAAGTTGTAACCAACTTAAAACAGTCTTACATATAAAACTGTTGGGCAACTTTAACAGGGAAGTATAAGCTCTATATGGAGCTTATTATGGCCATAAGGATAAAATTAAAATAAATAATTTATGCTCCATTGCCATTGGGTAGTTTTTACTGGCCACAATATTTTTCTTTGCTTGACAACCAGAGGTGAGCAGAAGCCAGGTATATAGGCTTTGCATTGTTCCTAAGCAAAGGTTTTTTATAAAAAATGTTTACCCTGGTTTTCAGTGCTGGCAAGATTACATTGCAATTGCACATCGATACAAAAACTAACAAATTTAAGTCATCACTTTCCTACCTAACAGACCAAATTAAAATAGATTTTTTAGTCTTGAAAATCCTACCCCTCATCCTCTGTTATACACCCAGGAACCTGAGAAAGTAGAAATGTTCATTCCAAAAGTCAGCAGATACTGGATGATTTCAGATCAAGGTAGATGAGCTCCATGGGCTCCAGAACTTCTTGAAGTTAGAAAGTCTGGGCACTGACCAGATGACGAGTTCAGAGAGCTCATGAGATATGTAGAGTTCCAAGAAGGAGCTACACTGAAACACCAATGAGCTCAGAGAGCTCATGGCCTAAGTGGCGTACAGCCAAAGTGGGGTGTGGCTGCACCACGGCACCCCCTCTGGATCCACCCCTGGATATCTAGGGTCGTTAGTGCATAAGGGACATTTCTGACCAATGTCCTCATATTAATCTTCCCTATGCTTTTAAATACATATTGAAGAAGAATGGAAACTATGAAATCTGGAACGACACATGAGGTTCTTTCTTGGCCATTTTGGAAAATACTTATTCATAATTAACACTATCCTGATTTCCTAAGTACTCCTTAAAAAGGGACATTTATATTTACGTTTAAAATCTAGGAAGTGTAGACAACCCACATACTGAGATAAGGTTTTGGCAGGATTGTCCTTCTTAGAAAGAGCAGCCTAAAAGGTTGAAGAAAACTTCTGACTAATGCTTAAAATATCTAAACCATTAATACCGTATAAATAATACTTTTGCAGATTCAGTTGTTAGGGGAGGTGTTTTTTATTATTATAGTTTATGCAGAAGACTTTTGACAAGGTCAGGGGGGCTAGATGAAATTAGGCATTTCTTTGAGTAAGAATATCAAATTGGGCATTCTTTGATTTCATTTTGCCTACATGAAATGACTGCTAAATAAGCATGATGCCTAAAGGTCTAGGTATTAAATTAGCATACAGCAAGACAGTTTAAGCTGTGTAGCAATTTATATGCTCTCTACCTTAATGTATTAACAACTGAACTTTAATTAACAAGTTATCCTGCTGAAAGCCTAAGTATTCTTTAATTAGATAAATTTAAGATTATAAGCATCTCATTTAACTAATATATGATACTGTCCTATGTGGGCACTAGTGTATTGTATTAAAATACACATTGCAGATCCAATTAAATAGGACTGATCTTGGGGTACATGCAGATGTTACATTTACGTCAATCTAAGTAAGGTTAAATTGATTTAAGTGGCTGTTTGTGCAGATGTTCAGGGAGGTTAAATAGGGCAAAAAATGGTGAACAATCGAATTAGTTCACCTGAGGAGCAAATTAGTCTGATATGCCAAAAGTTTGTACACATTCAGAACACAGACCCAGGACTGGGAAAGACCTGGTGCTCACCCCAGCCCTGGAGCTGTACTTTTCCTACTCCCTAAAACCTAGCGTCTGCCAAACCCCAGTGCGGACTGACTCCTTGCCAATCCCTCCCGCCCCCTCTCTCTACCCTGATTTACCTAGATCAGGTTCCCAGCATGGCTCCCAGCATTGGCAAACATGTGCACAAGCCACTCCTAATCTATGATTATGTAGCATAAAGCCACGTGATTGTAGTTCAGGTGCAGCAAATGTCTGCACATACCTTGGTGATTTATTTCTTAATATGAAGCTCAGCAGTAGCTAGCAGAGCCTCTGAATGTATACTAGGAGGAATCCTAGTGCCTTTGTGTCTGAGTAGAGCAATGTTCTATTTTGTAATTATAAATTGGAAAATTTACAGTAATACCCAGAATGACATTTGCATGATGCATTGAATACATCAAGAGTCTTTGCTACAACTACATATAATCCCTACAATAGTTTTCACAACTGAAATAAGTGACCCTGAGGATTTCAAAAGATTCAGTACTTTTCCAGGTTGGTCTTTGTTTGATTATTGATTATGCTATGAAAAGACTTAATTGCGCTATAATTCCAGAGAAAATGTTTTCCTCAGCTTGTAACAGAGAACTGATGAAGTACAGCATTGTTTGTTACACAGCCTATATTGGTTAAAGCAATTCAGCAAATTTAATTGGAGTTTAATTGCTGAGTATGCTGCAAGTAAAACTTTCAACAGCACCTCAAAATTTAGGAGCAATAGTCCCCTTTTCAAAAATAACCTAAGCAAATAGGAGCCTAAGTCCAACTGACTTTCAGTAAATCCGTATTTTTTAAAAACTTTTATCTGATATTCTTAATAATGTCTCTTGTTGCAAAAAGCTTCCCTCAGTAATTCCAAAAAGTATTTGTATACATTTGTAATTGTGTTGTCTATACACAGGCAGCCTTTTAGTTTAATTTTTAGTTATGGACTTGGTTAATACAGTCGTCTCATCTTGCAGTTCTGTGCATATCTGACAGAGCAAGAGATTGCTTAAATTCTTTCTACGTTTTAGAGCATTGTTTATTTTCCCCCAAAGGAAAGTGATTTATATTTCAATGAAAAAGACCATTAGGTTTCTTTTTGAGTAGGTTTATACCTGAAGAGTAAGCAAATTGGTTTTCACCTAAAGAGAATAAAAGATTGGCATATAATTATTTTATAACCTTTTACTCAATAATCTTATTCTTCTTATTTTCTCAATAGCAAATTATACACTTTGTGACTTTGAGTCTGATTTCTGTGGATGGAAGCCATTACGCACAGAGGAAATGGAGTGGAACAGAGTAAAAGGACAGACTTCCAGCAATGTGAGTCTTCCTAACGGAGACCATACAACTAATGATGAACATGGTGAGGGAATTTTTTTGTATTTTTTTTTCTTGTCCTAAGGTTGCATCTTAATACTTGTGAAGGATGCCAGATTGACAACAAAGCCAATGTATACGCCTTGCCTGTTTATTCCTGTACTGGACCTCAGAGGAGTCACTGCAGTTTTGTTTCTATGTCTATATAACCAATAGTTTTTCTTTGGAACAACCGAAGAAGTGCTAATCAATGCTAGCTGTAATGTTGATTTTAGTTTTTGAATTCCTGCCCGGTGGACTGAGACCGCCAACTCCTCCTCTGTATACGATAAGCACCACTGTCTCACACATTCATAAAGAGCCCATTCTTTTAGTTATTACTCAGGCATTGTTTCCAATGAAGCTAGGATTTAGTCCAAAATAAATAATTTAAGCAATTCTCTTGTTTATATAGCATAGACAAATTAATTACTTTTTCTTGGGACAGGCAGAGCATGGGCAAAATCACTTGAACTGCTATTTCTTATAAGCCTGTAGCTATCTTGGTCTCATTACTGTTGTATAGTGTGTTCAACTGGGAAAGTTGATTTTAGCAAAGAGTGCATGTTATAAATATTTGCAGAAGTAAAATGCAAATACAATATAGTGTACGCTACTGAAAATGTCCAATATGATAACCTTACAGTGTTAGAAGTTCATGTTGTATTTTTATTAAGAGATATTTATTATGTAGTTCCTGAGGAGATCAAATTAATTTAAAACAGGACCAACTTCAGGGTATACTCAGAGGTCCATTTTGAATAAAGCTTTTTCTATAGCCATTGGAATTATTACATACACATACAGATATAGATATATGTATGCTACATACACAAAATCTACTTTGAAATGGTGTTAATGATGTGGTGTAAAAAAAAAAGAAACTCTAGGATTAAATTTGGCCTGTGAACCTTTAATTAAGTTCATTTGTGTATACCTTATAATAGTCTTTAATTACATGATGATACATGCCATTTTCCACAGGCCACCTGCCTCATTAGATTCACAGGATTAGATGGCGCTCATAAGTAGTTATTCAATATGTCATCTTATTCATAATGACTGGCCCTAGGTCTTATTTACTGCTCAGTATTCAAACACTGTTCTAACCACAGAATTAAGAGGCACAACACCACTCACAGCTCAAGAAGGATGCTAAGGTAGTGTGAAGTAACTCTTTCACCCTCCCAATCCTAGGCTCTTTGAGGGGCTGGTCTGAGGGGACTGTTTATGGGTATGTCTATACTGTGGACCTGAGCTAGTTCACTTGGGTATTTGAAGCTATCCAGCTATGGCAGCATATAACTCAGTGCAGGCTAATTTAGCCTGCTGAGAAGAAGCTCTTTTAAAGTTAGTTTGGGTATTTCTATACTATATTCTAGTTCCCAGGTTACAGCAACCTTGCCAGAGTACCATATGGGCTAAGTGCTGCCTGGTTTGTTTGGGGTTTTTTGTTTTGTTTGATTTTTCTTTGTTTTGTTCTTTTTAATTGTTTCTGCAATAAAGTGGTCCTGTCCCCAGTGCAGCCCTAACAGTGGTAATTCCCCCCTGCACAGTTGTTTGTGAAGAGTTTCTTGAGAAGCAGCCTTATGGTTGACCTTTGCCATTGTAGGCCTATACCAGGAAGATCTTGCCCTGATCAAACACAAGATAAGACTTTTAACACCCCTTTAGTCACTATGATAAGCACCGTACTTTAGTCACTGATAAGCACTGTAAAGAGGCTGGAGCAGGAATGAGATCTTTTGATATTTTTAATATTCCCTCAGTTCAGCAGGGTTCACCCTTGGTTTATGCCAGCTCCTGTCAGCATTAAACGTGGAATGGGTGTCTCCCATTTCAGTGAATCTACTGACAAGAGATAATAGAAGTGCAGCATACAGTGAAAGGCTGTGGGTCAGCAGAAGAACAGTTTGAAACGTTGGATCTGCATAAAACATCTTCAACAATCAGCACTGGCAGGGCTCCTGTGGAGCTTCAGCTACCAACTAACTATAAAGCTGTATCTTATGAAGTACAGTGAAAATGTTGCATCCCTTCTGGTGAGAGAGGCTTCCCTGACCTATAGAATATGCAGCCTGCCTTGTTTGTGTAGGAAAAACAACTGACGCTCTGTGAAAGCCAGGGTCACTCTATCTGTATATGTAAATATTAGCTTAGGGCTGAATCTACCCCTCTGCTCTGTGTTGCGCATCCATGGGGAGGGGAAAAACCCCACTAATGTGCATAACTGAGCCAGCACAGTAGCTGATTTTCAAGATGCAAAGCCATCAGTATGATATCAGTGTGTGAGACTCAGCCCTTACTTTGCATAGACTTTCATAAAGAACGTTTCAGTATTCAATGACAGCAGCAGCAGTGGCAGCTAAAACGTGCTGCTTTAGGGACCCTTGAAGACGTTTATCCTCCTCTACCTTTGTCTTGAGCACATCTGCTGTAGCTCAAGTCCAAAGGCAGTTAGTTTGCCAGAGTTCAGATTAAATCTTTAATTAAGCTTTCATCCCCACTAGCACAGACAATAATGTCAAGCCTGTGGACCCCCTGAGAAAATTATAGCTTATTTCACTGGCTCCTGTGGTTTGCAACATTGTTAGCATGCTTAAAAACTGCTAGGCTTCCCTGAGAATTTGATAAGTTGAATAGTGTACCTAATAGGAGCTTAATTGTGATTCTAAACACTACTTATAACACCATTTAAACCAATTAAAATGTGTCTTTTAGGGATCCCAGCTGAGGTCTACAGTATTTTGATTTCTCAGGTGCTCTGCGCAACTTCTCATACATTTCCATTTTCTCAGGCACCTGTAGGCACTGGGATAAAGTAGAATGTAGGGGGAAGAGCTAATTGTACTTGTTTGAAAGACAGAAATGTAAAGTTTTTCTGCTGGAGGAGGGCAGATATGGGAAGGCAAATGCCTTTGGAACAAAGCTACAGACTATTCAGAAGCAGCATTTAAGTTTTAGAGGCACCATGTTTGCTCCCTCACAAGTAGATTTTTTTTTTTAATGCTTGCTAGCACGATGGCAGGAAAGGCTTAATGGTGATATGACCAATCACATCATTTTTAGAGTGCACAGCTCTACTGCAGCCACTGGCTTGTCATTTTTTTTGTGTTTTGGGGTTTTTTTTCCTGCTTTCCATCCGGGCTTCCCATCCTGCTGTTCTGCGCCTTCCAGGTAGGAGTCTGGGATGTGGAAAGAATAATGTGCAACATCCTCCCCCTTTGTCTTTGCAAACATATATAGGTACAGACATAGGTTATTTCAACACTTCCTCTGTTAGCTCCAGGGCACTTCTTAAAAATAAATTAATGGGGTAATGGGATCATAGGAAAGTAGGGCTGGAAGTGACCTCACAAGATCATCTAGTCCAGCCCCCTGTTTAAGGCAGGTTCATCTCTAACTAAACCAACTCAGCCAAGCATCCATCCAACCTGCTCTTTAGAATTACCAGGGGTGAAGACTTCACAGCCTCTCTGGGTTGCCTGTTCCAACACAGGTCAATATACCTAATAAAGGAATGACTGATCCTCTCAGGTAAATGTTCACCATTGGGGGTGAGATTGTTTTAAATATTTCTGTGATTTTATTTTTCAGGATCATTCATTTATTTTAGTGGCTCACTGCTGACAAATACAACACCAATTATATCCAACCTCAGGAGTCCTATCCTTACCAGGCTGTCTAGTGAACCAGCTCAGTGTCAGGTACTTGTTTGATATTAATTGCAATCACCTATATACAGGATCCACCACCTGTTGTTCTAATGTGTTGTGAGGTGTTGCTGAGTGCTGTTAGAGCTGCTGTAAATTGACTACATTTCAGGAGTGATAGAAGTGATCATTGTGCTTCGATCTTTGTTTCAGCTAAGTTGCCCTTAGAACGGGAGTAGAAGAGACAAATCTTGATTTACTTCCTGGTACCCCAAGCCACTTTCCAGTCTAGGGCTGTTTTTCCTTTTATTTTAATCTAAATGCTTCTCTGCTATCACAGTGGTCAAGCACTGATAGGCTAGGGATAGAAATTACACATAAAGTGGTATAAGTGATCAGAGACCAGTTCAGTTCTGTAGCACAACAGAAGTTCAGTGCACAAATGGCCGAGACTGGTTTAAGGTAAACCTGGATAGATGTATTATCAGACTTAGCTGATTTAGGTTACAGTGATGCTATGAATGATGCATGTGAATCCTCTCCAGATTCAAGTTAACTCTCAATCTCCCAGCATCCCAGAATGCTTTGCACCTCCCTGGCAAGTCACCCTTGTAGGGTGGGCAGGCTAGTCTTGGCCTAAGCTGTCTGCTCCAGCCCAGCAGGGTGGTATGCTCGAGCACCCCTGACTTCTGGTTTGGGCCACTGTAGGCATGTGGCTGCAATTTCAGAAATCAAAAGTGGATGTCTGCTCACTTGCTTATAGGTTCAATCTACACAGCTTAGACAAACCTGCAAAGACTGAACTGATTCAGCCTCAGGCTTTTTGACTGTCTGTATTTAGCCATGGTGCTTTTGCCTCCTCCTCTTTGTACTTATGACACATGGTATGTTTTTTAGGTTGGGTTTTTTTTTTGCTTTTGGCTTGTTCTTATAGCTGTGATGCCTGTGAGGAGCTGGACAGTTTTTAGGATTTGGGTCAATTTTTAGGATTTGGATAAATGGTTGTCTGTGAAGGCAAGGAATGCTGAGGCCCCTTCCAATCCTGGGTTCTTACTCCTATATCCTGGAGGCTGTTGGCAGCAGAATAGCTGGCATATACTACTTCTGTGCCCCCATCCATACTTCAGGCGCCTTCTTCCTACATTTATTCTGCACGGTATAGCACAATAATTAGTAACATATAGGGGGAAGCTCATGACCAGTTCTTAAAATCATTATGTTTAAATGCCTTTGATATTAGCTTGTCCACGCTCACTCATGCATAGGGCAGAGTGTCATGCAGGGAATACAATAGTTCCTGTCCTGTCCTCCCATAAAAATTGCAGGTGTTCCAAAATAATAGCTTTATTCCATAAGGCTTTGCATCAAATAGAATAAAGATGAAATATTTAAACGTTCTCTGAGGATTGCTGCTCTTTGGAAAATAAGAGTAGAGAAATTTGAGAATTTTCTGTCAGAAAATCAGTGCCTTTTGCTGGATATTTTTTTTCCAATCTGGAAAATCAAATTGACAGCTCCAAGGTGGGCTTTCTGGAGACTGAATTCTCCAACTGTCAGCCTTCCTGCTTTCCACTCAATTCTAGGTGTTAAGCAGGGAGAAAGCAAGGAGACTGTTTTTTGCCTTTCCAGTAATGACAGCCTGAAGACTATAAGACTATTGACAATTTCATATCTTTTCCCTGAAGGCCTAAAGTGAAATCAACAAGAACCTTCCAGGCAGCCAGCTAGGAAACTAAAAACGTCTGTTTCAGTTCTCTTGGGGGGGTGGAAATAAAAAAATCTGGAAATCATTTCCTGAGGATGAAATACATGTTTTTGACTTTTCATCTGAATTTGGGGCAAAGTGTTTTTCAAGAACATGATTTTCCAAGAAGAAAGATATATTTTCTGGACACATCTAGAAATGGTACCTTCTTTGTCCTATATTCAGTTTTAAAACTGGTTGCCATTCTAGGCTGAGCATAAAAAGTCAAATTGTGATTCTTTCAAGCTGGCATTTTCTGGCATTTTTCAAATAATCCATCTCTGAAGCATCTTTCCTCCAGTGATGTTGTGAGTGACAGGAGAGATTCCTAGGAGGTCTCCATAGCTGCTGTATTATTAGTTTAGTAACTCTGAATATGGCATATTAACAAGCTTAGGACATGGTTTAATTGAAAGTAGGGACCTAAAGTTGAATGGTTAACCATGAATGACAGTTTAAACAGTTTTGAGAAGCTTGATTAAATGCCCAGCCAGTTTGATTTTCCTTTGTGAGATTTGTATTCATAGTAGGTAAGTAGCTTTCAGATGAGCTTGATCCAATAGTCCCATAAAGCAGGCTGAATATTAAAGGACTATTAATCCAGTATCTAACTTGTGAACCATTCTCATTAGACCAAATAAGAGGGACCTACAGCTATTTGAAATATGTACATGCCTACAGTAAAGATGTATGTGCATCCCTTGAGCTAAAATTGAAAAAAATAAAAACATTTTTGTATTAACATATTAGTTTCTGCTTCTACTTTTTACATGTCCCTGAATTTCCTGAATTCAACAGAAATGAGTGAGAAGCTGTTCGTTAACTAATTGAAGCCATGCAAACATAAAAAAAAAAATCTCACTTAAGTCCATGTTACTGTGAGTTATTTTTGGGAAGGGGAATGTGAATTTTTGTATTAATGTATCACTGGCTCTTAGAGTAGGAATGTGTGATATTGCATGCTATTAGATGTGTCCCTGAGAGAATAAAGGGACATATAATTATTACAGATTCATGAGTTGGACAAATATGTGGGTTTGAAGCTGAAAGACCAGGATAATTTGCATTACTGGCTGGTTGGCACATAGCAGGAACATATGTTTCTTTTTGTTGCTGCCAGCTAACCAACAGCTTCACTGGGTTCAAGCATTCTGTCATTTTGCAGCTTTGAGGACAGGTTTCTTGCCCTGGATCACTAAATATACATGACTCATGGGGAGGTCTCCCAAAGTTGCAGTTGCAACCGTGATCCAGTAAGAAGACAAATTCCTCTTGCAGTGAGGAGGGTGGAGAACAAATCCTCATGCTTTGAAATCAAAAGGAGAACTATAATGTGTCTGAAAAATGTGATTAAGTTGAGTAACACATTTCATTACTGTAACATTTCAAAGACTGTAGCATTTCAAACCACTCTTTGGAACATTTCTGTATTAGCTGATGTTCTCTGTGTCCTTCAGAGTTTGTTTGTTCAAAGAAATCATAATATACCAAACATTTGTCACACAACCTTTGAAATTGGCTGATACAGCATGTGATTTTCAAGAACAAAAAACTTACAATATTTAAGAAACTGCTTATCTTGAAAACTGATAAAGAATTGGCCAGTGACCTTTGACCTGGACCCTTGACAAGTAAAGGAAATGCCAGGGTTTATGTTTTGGGGGGCTTTAAACAAAAATCTGTTTCTTTGGATTTGGCCATTTTATGGATTAATATTAGGAAACTGCACTAAAAGCAGTGAATCAATGTGAAGACAGCTTTTCTGGTTATTAATCTCTGGGTCCAAACATAATCAGCTTTTAAAATTCTGCAAGCTGACTTTTCAACTCTATACCTAGATTTAACATTTATAGGTTTACTTCATATGGGAAAATGATCATTTCTCATGCAAAGACTCCTTGTGGGTTCTGGGTACTCTGAGTACATTTCCATTTCCATTCCCATTTATGGAATTAGGATTTATTTGACCGTCATATACTCTAGTTCAGGAGTTCTCAGCCTCTGACCTGTGGGCCAGATGTGATGCACAGAGCCATCTGGCCTACAGGGCTCCCCATGGGTCAAAAACATGGAGGCAGAGGAGTTGTGGCCCATTAATATGCCCACACTCCCTTGCCAGATTCCCAAATCCCAAGATGGGCTGTGTCCCCTCCTTCTGCCACCCTCTCCACCCTCCCCCACTTCTTGATTGGGGCCAGATTATTGCCTCCTTCCTTCCCCACAGGGCAGGTTAGGCCAGGCCATTCCCCCTTCCTTTTCTGTGGGTCTGGGTTGAGGCTTAGCCATGCCCCCTCTTTCCACAGGGTTTAGCCATGTTCACTTCCCTCTTGCTCAGTCTGGGCCATGCCCCTTCTCCCCATGGGGCTGGGTTGGGGCCCAGCCTCCTTCCCCTACCCCCCTCCACACGGCCAGATGATGCCCACTGTGCACCCCCAGGAGCACTGGCTGGATCCAGCCCATGGACGAACCAGGCACTGTCAGTCTGCCCCTGCAGCACTACTCTAGTTCATAACCGCTTCATGTATACTAAGAAGTGAGGAATCAAACTCTCCTGGTTGCCTGATAATTTATGAGTCAGATTACAAAGGCCAGGTATCCCAAAGCCCCTTTTTGAGGACATTTGCAACTGTCATTGCAGTCATTATCAATTGCACAACAGACATTCAGCAGAAAAGAGAATCAGCAGGTTTAAAAATTTAGTTTTTTTAGAATTTATTTTTGGCTCTTGGTCTGAATGATCAGGCAGTATTTAGGGATTTTCCAGACTTTGGGATTAAGAGAAATTGTTACAAGAGCTACGTATTTCTTTGGTGCAGTTCTGTTTATTTACCAACTCTTGTTCCTGAATCATTGGAGGAACAAGCATAAGGTAACTTCTTTGCTCACAGTTTTCAGGTCTGCATTCCCAGAGAGTACTGTGCTGAGAAGGAATTGGATTTATTCCAACGGTGCTCACCCTTTCTCTCATTGTCAGATCACTTTTGTCTTTCTGGTCCTGTGTCTGCTACTGACACACACAGCTGTTACCAAATTGATGCTCCAACTTCCCTGTTTTTTTATTGGTCTCAGGAAAACCATGAGTTTTCTACTGTTTTGGGGATCTTGTTCCTCAGAAGAATTTATTTTTTTCTTCCATACATATTAAATAAAAGGTTGCTAGCAGGCTCATCAGCACCCTCTAGCACAAGGATGCAATAATGCTATTTAGTAGTCAACCAAGGTTGAGTTCTTTAGCACTGTTCATTTCAATGTCTGTAATTTATGTGGAAATAGTTGGCATTTTGTAATATGAGGCTACATCAGTAGGTAAAAAAAATAGAAGACAAATGTCTTAAAGGCCAGTCCTAATTACCAGCTGGGTATACCTTCATTTGCATTCAGAGATTATCATGTGTCAAGTTTGCAGGGAAAGGCAGATTCTGCATTTAGAATGTTTTGCCCTTTCATTACCTAAAAAAAAATGAGAAAATCCTATGAGAAAAAAGGAACAACATGTAATTTCCTAAATATTAGCACTCTTATCTGAGTCTGGTGGTCAATATTTTTTACTACTGCTGCTACTTAAGAAAACTTAGTGGAATTAGGTTTACTCAAAAATTCCTGCCTTGTATAGCTTTTTTCAGGACTTTATTTTCTGACTTCCTATTGTTTCCAGTCTCCAGGCCACTTATTCCAGATGATTCAACTCTAGTGTTATCTCTTCCTAAGCCCTGGTTCTTGCCTTTTTATTTCAGGAGGCCACCAGAATATTTTTAAATTAACATAATTAGATTAAAAAAAATAAAAAGATCCACCCCATACCTTTCTGTTTTCCTAAGGATTTAATTGATCATGAAAAGCAAAGATCAAATTAAGATGGGAAATGTATGTGGTATTTTACTGTGTTTTATGCATTTCTGAGTTTCCTCATTTTTGCTTAATCCATCTTTTCACATATTTCACCCTGACTTGATATCTGTCCTAGTATTTATTTTTACTCTGAATTCACTGACCCCATTCATCTCCTTAGAAGCATCTCCATCCTTTTCTCAGGACAGTCATCTGAAAAAGGCAGCTCAGAGTACAATATTTTCAAAAGTAATATTTATTTGAAGTTCTTAAGTCCTGGTTAGAGCTCCCATGGAGATAAGAGAAGTCATGCACCTATATCAGTAGGTTGATGTAGGTCATGATAGAAATACATTTTTTAAATTGAAGTTGTGTATTTATAGGGGTACAAGTGTTGTTTGATATATTACTCTCTTTGGGGCTTCTACATATTGGGTCACTTATATCTGTTCTATTTAGACTGGTGGGCATGGACACCACAGAATGCTGTGCTGCATGTAAAGCTATTTTATATTGAAATGAAAAAGGTCTATATCAACATTACTGTAGCTTCCCAAATTGATCACTATGTTTCATAAACGTTTATTTCAACAGATGAGATTTTGGTATCAGTTGTCTCAGGATTCCCAGCTCTCTGTCTTCAAGAGAACTGTTCTTGATGGGGAGATTCAAAACCTAAGTGTGATATCAGGACTGTCCACGATGCAATGGACAAAGGCAACTATTTTTATAGGAAGTGCATCTGAAGAAATGCCAACTCCTTTCCAGGTAACTGCATCAGAAATTACCTTTATTTTGTGTAAAAGTACTTTAATTTGTTTTTATAATTAAGGCATTTTCATGATAAAAAATTAAAGAAAGGTACCAGCATTAGAATTCCATTCAGCTTTTTCAATAGAAGTGGTTACTAAGGAATTAAGCCAGTGTTTCATTAGCCCAAGCATTAGAAGCACATATTTAGAATGAGAAGCAAGTAGCAGATGTTCCGTATATTAAAAAATACGCACTAAAGATGAGTATTATGCTAAAAGTGAGGGGCTGATGTTGTTAGCTAGATGGAGTGTGAGTGTAGACCCTTAGACTGTTCCTTCTGTAACAATCACAGCCCTGATCACAAGGCATAATTAATCAACCACGGGGCTCAATTTATAACATTCACCTTATCCCATAACAGCATTGAACTAAATTTAGAGTTGCACTGCTAGATAGTTCACTCAGATGTAAAAGCATTAAATAATCTTTTATTTTATCTTTACATTTTGCACTTCACCTTCATAATCAAAGTTGTCTAATTATAGATCACAGCAGGGGGTCTGAAACTTTTTTGTAAAGGCATCAGTACAGGGATATTGCATTTAGTCAGTGGCAGAGCAGCTTTCAGCCACTTCGTGGCTGCCTCAGCAATTTCTCACCCCAATTATAGTTGCATAATATCTCTATGGATACTTCAGCATTTGTGTGTAGTCAGACCTGAGTGTTCAGTTTGGGCACAGGGTACACTATAGCCATAGCAGTGGTACACAAGGAATGGACTAATTTAAGGTTAAATTACTGTGACCTGGGCACAATTCTAACACACCCAGTACCTGAACTAGCTTATTTAATGCTAGCTTGAGTACCTGTACATCTACTGCAGGTGCTTTGTTAAACATACCTTGGAAGACCTCTGTTAGGAAAGTGTTTGCATATTTAGCTTTGTTTTGATCCTATTTAGCAGTTGGGGAAAAAAGGAGAAATCAGCACTGTGTAATTAAGAAATGGACACCTGTACCCACAAAATATAGTTTGAGAACCTGGTTTACCATGTGCTTTCTGTTCTTCTCAGAAGTAACTCATGCTAGACCACTAGGATAATACAATAGTAATGTTCCATCTGTGCTCACCTTCAGCCTCAATATTGACGCTGCAGATTAGTCATAGCCATATAAATTACATATAATCCAGTATGAGGAACTCTAATATTGATCATATTTTATGTTTCCTGCATAGTATTCTTTTCAGGGGATGCGTGATGAAAACCCTTAACAGAGTTGAGGAATATAATGAAACCAATTTCTGTTGTGATGGATGCTTTTCAAACAGCATTAGTGGTACAAGATACGCCTTTTAGTCGATCAACAGCATAAGAATAGAAGCAATGGCATTAGACGTTTTCAAGTTAGCAACGATATGTTACACACATCGGCACTGTTTAAGTAATTTTCCTTACTTAGTTATATAAAAATTAATTGCCTCAACATTTCTAGTATTGTTCTGGCTCTATACTACCTAGAAAGCTATTGCTAAAATACTAGGCATAATTTCCTCTAGTTAGCCTTTGGAAAAGGTAGTAATTGTTTCAAACAGAAACTCTAGGGGACAAGTCCTGTTTCTAAATTTAGCTGAAATTGATAAATTAAATATTTTGTTCAAATCAAAATAAATCATGGAACGGAAACTATAGGTAGCCCATATGCATACCCGATCTAATTCATTTATAGTTGATATCTCTAAATGTTTTGATTCACCCACTCCATTGACCTACAACACCCAACTCTTCCTGAAATGCCATGCCCAATACAGAGAGTATACTATAGCACCAAAAGTCATGCATTATGAGCACATCTACACCTTACCCTATGGCAGTTTGGTTACTGCATTGTGTGCCGTACGCACTGTGCATGGTTATTTTTAGAAGCTGCTTCGTCATACCAGCACACTGTAATGGGGGAACGCACCACTATGGTAACTTCTGGTTATGTATAGACAACTGCGGATGCGAAGTCATCATAGCGCATCACTACCGCACCGTAGTGTCATGTGTAGACGTGTCCTATGACAAACAAATGATCAGCCACAGAAGGTAACTTTACTTTTACACGTGTATGTCTGGGATCAATGTCATCATTAAAAGTTCTCTAGTAAGTTGCCTTACACCATCAAATCCTGAGGTAAAACCCATATTTTTCCTTCGCTGCTACTTCCTGAAAGCTGAATACCAAATCTATGCAGAAACTGAGGAGTCCTCAAGAAGTGCTGAGCAGAGTACCCTCCTCTACAGGAATAGTAGCTTGTTGTTAAAAACTGGAGCATATGGATTACTCCCACAGGTCAGAGTAAAGGGGCATGTTGACAGCCCTTTGAGCCCTGAGATTAACCTGTGGTGCTCAGTTCTGGGGTCAAAGGAGTCTCCCTTTTGACGCACATATTGAAGCTTGCTTTACTGCTGGAACTGTTCCCACATGGGGCATATTTTTACCAGTTTTCCTTTTATAAGATATAGGATCAGACCTTTGTGTCTTCTGCTAGTGTTAAGCAGCCATGTGTGTAGCCGTATGAAAAATACTCCCTTGTGGATGCCTTCTTGTGTTACATACATGAACCATGGAGCTCTAAACTGCTTACCATCTTTCCCCTGATGCAGATCTGTCCTATGCATCCAATGTATCTCTATACCTCTATTTTTCTTCCTTGCTTGCCCTTGGAAACTGACTGTATTTTAAAGCAGGCAAAGAGTGTGGAAGTGATCTGGGTGCTCTGATAAGTGCCCCAAAGGCAAGTCCTGGCTGCATAATTGTACAAGCATGTATAGCTTCAGTGGCATGCCCTCATAATTATTTTTATTGTCAAGAAAAAATGATTCCTTTGCATTATTTTAAAAAGTCATGTTTCACATCTATACATTAATCAGAAGTCTGTATTTCAGTAAAGCAATAGAGCCCTTTAGTGACTTCAGCTATAAAATACAGCTTTTTTATTTGCTAGCTGGCAGGGAGTTTGGGGCAATATGTGCTTAAAATACAACTCAGCACACACACATTGCACTGTATATATTTTTTATATGGAAATGTCTTGTTGGCTTCAGCAGCCCATGGTATAAATTAATTCGTGTCTCAATTAGGGTTGTAAACCACCACAGTTGGTTACCCTGAATAGCTCATTTAAAAAGGCATATAACTCTTGATAGTTCCACCAGGAAGACTGTACATTCAGGTAGTGATGAATGTTATCACTTTTTGTTGAAACAAGGTTATTTAGGTTACATAACTTTCTGTAAAAGTAGTTATGACTTTGAGAGTTGAGTTGTAAATTTCTAACTTCAGTCTTAATGTTCAAATATCAACCATATGTTTTGTTGGCTAATTGTATTCTTTGGAACGAGAATAGTTGTAGGTGGTATTTTACCTCCCATATGGACCTAGTAAATTATAAAAGAACTGTATTTCCTTTTATAATGCCATCTTTAATAAGATTATTCATTTCTTTATTATTACAGATCATTTTACAAGCTATAGTTCTGTCAAAAAATGCCACTGTTGCTATAGATGACATCAGTGTCACAACGGAGTGTGGTGTTACCTATGAATCACTTACAGATGGCATCAAAGAAAGCAAAGGCAAGTGGCATTTTTTTAAATATTATGTACGAAGGACTAAGTGTTGTGTGGTGCTAATTCTCTTTTGTTGTGCTTTCCTAAAAGTTATTTTTAGTTATGATGTTTGTCATTTTGTGGTTTCTTTTAACAAAAAGATTAAGCTTCCTAACTAAAATAAATGCTTAAATTGTACATATTTTAAACTTTTCATTGACAACACAATTCCAGAATAATTTGAATTAGATAATAAAATCTGTACTTCAAAATATGGAATTTCAGAATAATTTACATGAATTCATATAACCTAGATAAAGTCAGTGACTGTGGAAAAAAAATGTATCATATAGGTAGCTTTCCGTTACCTGGTTGTACACATATTTAATAAGACAGCTAATAGGCAGTAGGGGTGTGTGAAATGGGCCGTATTCAATTCGGATTTGGCCAGAATCAGGGGGCAATGCGATTCAATTCATTGATTCGGATCACTGTCCTGATTTCAATTCAGCTGAATCTGAACCTGAAGATTCGATGCTGATTCAGAGAATCAGCGAATCGGCCATAGACACCACTTGAAAAAAATTTTCTACATACCTCGAGGTACCAGGTGTGGCTTGTGAATGCTGAGACATTGGGGCAGATGGAGTGTCCCACAGGAGCGCGGGGGGGGGGGGGGGGGCCCCCGGGGGGGGGGGGGGGGGGGGGGGGTTCCTGCGTGCTCAGTAGTAGACTCAGAAGTGGACTAGAAGTACTTCCAGTCTACTTCTGGGACCACCACTGAGTGCATGAGGGAATCCCCTCCTCCCCCAGCTTGGTGATTGACCGTGGGGGAACCCAGAAGGCAGCAGTCACCAAGCCAGGGGGCAGGGGCAGGGTCCCCTATGTACTCCACTAGGCTGGATCCAGACGTGTAGGCACGTGCCATTTGTGGTGCTGCAAATCTCTTTGCAGTACCACAAACTGCATGAGTTGCACCTTAATCAGTGTACAGCACTGCTAATTTGCAGTGTTGTGGCAACATTTGTTACCAGAATTTCCTGGTAGCAAAAAGAAAACTAAAAACAAACCCCTGGAAAAAAGCAATGCAAACCACACCAAAGTGGCAGGTGCTGGGACAAACAGAGATGAGGCAACAGGCAGCCAAGGGCTGCCTGCTCTCCTGTCTCTGCATGCCATGGAGCCTGTGCTGAGGCACCTTGTGCCTCAGCCAACCACTGCCCAGCTGGCTGGGGCACAGGGTGCCTCAAGACAGGGGAGCAGGCAGCCCTGGGCTAGCTGCTGTCCTGTTTCCTCATGCCTGAGCACAGAAGCTCCACAGTGGAGCCCCCACTCTGAGGCACATGGAGACAGAGGAGCAGCTAGCCCAAGCCTGCCTGCTCCCCTGTCTCGAGGCACACTGCAGCCCAGCAAGGCAGGGAGGGTATCTCAATGCAGGGGCTCTGCAGCACGTGTTGTTGGGGGAGCAGGCAGCCCTGGGCTGCTGTTCCCCCATCTCCAAGTTCCACTCCCCAGTTGGCCAGGGCACAGGGGATGGCTAGCCCCTGCTGAAGCACCCTGTGCCCCAGCTAACCCCCCACCTGCAGCACATAGAGTAGCGGAACAGGGTGTCCCGCTGCAATGCACATAGGCAGGGGCATGCAGTGTGGCACAAAGTAGTGGCGCAAATTTGTGCATCTACTATTACTGCTGCTGCAAAGGCACACCCCTGCTCATGTGAACACGGCCTCAGTATGTATTTTTACAGATTGGATTTCTAAATTCTTCTGGCTCCACCAACGTACACCAAATAATGATTGAACCATGTCTTTATGAATGATCAAAACTCCTTATATTTACACCGTGTGTACTTTTAAAGAAGGGATGATAAACATACGGCTTATGGGCCAGTAGTCTAGTGGGGTACTGAAAGCTGTTGGGGTGTAGCCTGATGCAGAATTTGGGGTCCCTGGACCCCAGTGGATATGGCCATTGATGACAGCTCCCTGAGCTGCCACCTGAACACAGCCTTGCACACCAGCTATCACTGGCTTTGTGCTGCTATCCAAATACAGCTTCATGTTGCAGCCAGCCCTATTCCCTGCTCCCCAGTGACACTCATCTATCATACTCTGTACCTTATACTGTCATACTATCCAAACCATGTAGGAATTATTAGAAAAGGGGTATATTTCCTTTAAGGTTTCCTTAAAATAGAGAATCCCAGTTACATATCAGTCATACAACAGCATCCTTTTTAGAAATATGCTCTTAAAGGAGAAGTTCCAGTAGTCTTGACAAAACTAGTTTTGCTGCATCTCTGGGAGGCCCCCAGGAACCAAGGTAAGGAGGCTGCAGCCAAACCAGGTGCTGGCCCCAGCCTGCCCTACCCCCCCGGGGCAACTTGCCATATGCCAGAGTGCATGTGCAGGGGGATTCCCTGGGAACTAGTAGCAGTAGTGCAAATATGTGCTGCTGTTATTTGTCCCCAGGAAAATGCATGTTCCTGCTCATGGGGATGCGTCCAAAGTTTCTAAATTAATTCTTGATAGGTCCACACATACTACATGATTTATGCTTGATTGTTGTTGAAGAAAAAGGCACACTGCTGGAGAGACTGCTTGTATTTAGAATGTCTTCAGTGGAGTCGAACACCTAAGTGTCATAGCTGCTTCAGAAAAACTCTACATGTAAATTCTTCTGAGCAACCATCATGTATGAATCAGTAGCTCTGTCATGGGCCTGGCACATTTTTGGATGCTGTTTAACACCAACTGGATTTCTGTTCTTCTTACCAAAAAATAATTTTTGTATATAGTAACTGATTGTACCTCTGTGAACTATTATCATGGATTTTTTTTTTCTTAAGGGGATGTAGAGTTTAGAACCACTAAATCTTCACCTTCTTATTGTCCGCCGGGATACTTGCCATGTGAAAATGGAAGCTGTATTTCATCTAACAAGTTCTGTGATTTTACACCTGACTGTGCAAATGGTGATGATGAAGCCAAGTGTCGTAAGTGAAAATATATTAACAAATAACTCATGCTTTAAGGACGTATATGTGTACTCACTGGAACCCTTATTGCTAGATTTCCATTAATTCATGAGCAGATCATTTAAAAAATAGTAACAACTCTTGAAATACAATGTTTTCACACAGTCTGTATTGATGTCACTTTGAATTATAGCAGCTGTTTCCTTCTTTAGGTTTAAAATGAAAAAAAATCCCTGATCTGACTTTTCAACAGAATAGAGCAGTTTAGGAGATGGTATTTGATTTTTATTGTTATGATGTAAAGTATTAGATGAACTGTTATGTTGGATAAAGAACATTATTGCCATAGTAGTTCATGGCCTGATGCTCATAGAGAAGTATTTAGGTATGTGGTTAATTTTCAAATGAAGATGCCACCACTGGACTCGCCTACTTGAAACTCACAGTTGTTGCCATTTAGAAACTTAACTGACCATGTGAAAATGCAGTTACCCAGTTTGTATATGCAATCATGGTTGCATATGTCAGCTCTGAAAAATCAGGCCCTTCCTGTTGGCTTGACCAAATTGTTATTTTTACTATACATTTGTTACATTTGCAAAGGAGCTACAAAGAAAGATACTTACTAAAGGCTTATAAGAAATGAAACAGATTTGTAGTAAATCAGCAAAAGACCAGCATAATTATAAAACTAGAATTACATTATCTTATGAGTAGGGATTTTGGTATTCTCTCTTTAAAAATTGCAAATTCTCTGATTTAAAAAAAAATCCCAAACGCTCTGACTGAAAAACCCATAATCCACATTTTTCCACAGTTAAAATGAAATTTCACTATATTTTTAGGTATCAGTTGAACACAATGCTTTATTGATATATTTACAAGTTTAAAGCAATGTGGAAGCCTACCAGTGCCTCAATCATTATAATAAAATAAATTCTAAATACCTATATATTTTGGCATTTGATTTTGGTTTTTTTATTCTAGAAATTCAGAGGTCCCCCTGCCTTTTTCACTTACCAGGACACAGGTCCAGTAGCAGCTATCGCCTCCCTGCCTCCCCTGCTTTGTGGCACTGAGCAGCCCTGATATACCAGTTCCCTACACCTGTAAAACCCATTTCCCCATAATCCCAAGCCACAGCCCCCTAGCTCTGCTATGCTCCTTGCTCCCAACCCACAGCTTCCCACTCCCCCAGGTGCCAATCACTCCCAACCCACAGCCCGCTGGCCCTGCTGGTGCCCCTCACTCCCAGCCCACAGCCCCTTACCCCCCAGCCCTGCTGGAGGCGGGGGGCAGCTGCCAGAGCTATGGGGCCAGGCCCATGGCTTGCAGCCACCTGGCCAGCCCAGCAATACTGAAGCCCCAGCTTCTGCACATGGGAGGTGGCAGCTTCTTCGGCCAGAGTGGAGCACAGAGTCCAGCCTTCCCCATGAGTAACACAGCCAGAGCAGAGCTGAAGGGAGCTGGTGGGCGGTGGAGGAGGATGCGGGCTCCCTGCCCTGCTGTCCTGCCCTCAGGGGCCTTGGCAGCCCAGGAGGTGGGACCCAGCATGAGAGGGCAAAGAGGCTCCATGCTGCCACTGCTGCTACCACCACCAGGAGCCCCCCACACTGCTATAGCAAGGCACCCCCTGCCTGCCCAGCACTGTGGAGTTCTGTCCTCTGCTGCTGCCGGGTGGGCTGGCAATGCCTCACCATGGCAGCACAATTGGTGCAGGGTTCCAGGTGGTGGCAGCACTGAGCCTCTCTGCTCTGCTCTGTCCTCCCATGCTGGGTCCTGCCCACTGGGTCACGGGGATCCCCAGGGGGAGGACAGCACAGTGGAGAGCCCTGAGCGTACATCCCACATCCACCTTCACCCTGCACACACATCTGGCAGGATGCGCCCCTCTATTTCCCCCTCCCCAGGAGTGTGCACAGCAGCAGGGAGCCAACCCCCCAGGTGAGCCACCTGTGGCTCTGGCCCACTCCTTAACTAGCCCTGCAGCCACACATTCCTGCCTCTGTCCTGGGCCTCGGGCACTGATATATGTCACTCAGTTTGAATT